TAGTTCAGATAGCATTTATTTTCATTATTTATGGCAACAGTAGTTTGATTTTTAATGTGTTTATAATTCTTCCAGTTGACAACAGCTTTGTTTTTTCATAGGCCTATTTGTGACGGTTAGCCAAGATATTCTAATTGTGAATTCAGTAAGAAATTATTTCAAAGTTCTTTATCAATATCCTTAAAATTCTTGATTTTAATTATCTTTTCAGAAATTTTAGTTTGTTTGTGTATATTAAGTAAACCAGTAAATGATCAGATATATGAAGATGTTTGCAATTGCAATTTTTGGGGGTTCATTTATTATTTGCTGTAAATTTAAAGCTTGAATAGTCTATAATGATTTGTTAAATCTAGCATGTGTTAATTTATATCATTCCTTCATATAATTTCAAAATCTAAAAATTTTTCGTTAGGTGGCCTATAGAGTGGATCAAAAATATAAGCAGTGTCAAATAATCTTAAATTCACCCATATCTCCTGTAGGTCTTCCGCACAGGTAGAACATACTATATTGTATTTAACATTAAAATTAAAATAAGATCTATATAGAACAAATAATTCCCCCATTTATAAAAATAAACAAGAGGAAGACAAGAATAAAGGCCACTAGCGGTTTTTTCTATCGTAAAACTTGGTAGAAACGATATGCGAAATACGTTTAGGCCCGTTTGAACCACATTTGTGAATAAAGACGTACAAACTCGTTGTTAAACAAAGCGTCGAGTGGGTTCGTTACACCTAAAAAAAAAAGCGTTTGCCTTGATTCGCAACATCCTGTATAGAAAAACGTAAGGCAGTATTTCCAGTACTTGCATTGTCTGGTTTGGCGCACACCGAGGCACTTTAAGGTAGTAAAATAAAAAAAAACAATCGCCAAACCAGATTACTATAAGAAATAAAATTCTGTTGAACTGGTTAATGAAAGATGATAATAACCGCTGCATAGGTCTCGCGTAAAACCATCGACAAGACTTTGGGAGGAGGCTACAGACGCGACGACCGATTATTAAGGGAATAATAATAATTTATTTATATAGTTTACTTATACGCGTTTACAGAAGTCAATAGATAGTAGTTAATACGATAAAATATGAATTATAAACAAGCATTTAAATTTAAATTAAGTGAAACGAAAATTTCGATTTACGAAAGATTGTCGTCATTGTATAGTACGACCAAAAATATTGTGTTTTTGTAACTTTGACGTTTCGAGTATTTTACAGTACCTCAATCGTAACGAATATTTCTAGAAACTTGAAAATTTTATTTGAAACGTAAATTTGATTCAGCATTGATGCTGAGGGGTCTTTTCGAATAAGTAGAATTGTTTATTTTAACATCAGATGATATGTATTGTTCTTCAGGGTTTAATCTAAATTGCTGTTCGTATTTATTACGGAGGTATTTGAATGTGATCCTTACAGTATGTACGTATTTATATACCCGATTCTCGAGCTTTGACCCTGCGAGGCTGTTTTCACTGGATAGTTCGTACGGTAAGGGTAAGTACCTGTAAATGTAAGTTTGAAAATAATCATGTTTGTCTTATGTGCCTGTCAATTAGCAACATTCTTCTTGATGTATTTTTGTGTCTTCTACATAGCTCTTCGATTTGTAAACTACAGTCTTTTTCAAGACTATGGATTCTTGAGATTGCCCCCGTATTATTGTATATTTAATACGATTGAGATGATTTGGTCTGAACTGAAAGCGCATATTAGTAGAAATAACACTGCCCTAATATTTAGTGATAGTACCATAAACGTAATTCAGCAAGAAGTAGCTAAAATATCAGTACAAAGCTGGTATAACTGTGAAAAACGAGTAGTAAAAGAAGAAAACATTAATCGAGAACTATTAGGGTCGGAGTTGGTCATTGAACTAGGTGACGACAGTAGCGATAGTGACGATTTTTTAAGTGACTGATACTTAATGATGATAATGCTATATAGAAATGTAATGAAATAGAACGTAATAACTGTGTGTACTAATTTTTTTATATAAATGTTTCAAGAATTGTTCGACGAAAAAGACTATATATATATATATATATATATATATATATATATATATATATATATATATATATATATATATATATATATATATATATATATATATATATATATATATATATATATTCCTAGGACGGTCCTGGAATGGTTATGGATTAGGGTCTGCTCGGCAGAGTGTTCCAATTTCTTTAATGGAATATCCTCGATCTTAGAGGCCAGTTTGATTCCGCTTTTCTAAAATGTTGTATAAATTGGCAAAAAAATTTATTTTGGAGATTTGGATTGGTACTAATGGGTCTAACAGATGGCCTGCGAGATCTCCTAAGTTAAGCTTTTTACATTTTCTTGGGGCTCTATTTTGAACAGTTTTTTTAACCTTATAAATTAAAATAACTTTTAAATAAATATTATTAAATAATTATTATTTAATAATTTTTATGTTCTTCATAATTTTAAATAATAGTTTTAATGTCTACGTTCTCGTATTGGGTTATCTTTTTTAATAAAATATAGGTCATAAAGCTATTTGAAATGTTGCAAATAAAATGTTAATATTAAAAACAACATTCGAAAAGTTCGCTTCAGGCAAATTATAAAAGTTATTGTGTAAATATTGTCAGGACTAAATTAGGTAACTATTTTAGATATTTAGTAAATCCAAGGCCTACTGCAAATACCTTCACGTTTTTTTAGGGCTATTTATATTATATTTGAGAAGTTCTTACCAAGTGGAATCAAACTTACCAATTAGATCTATGGCGTTCTATTAAAAAAAAAGAAACTCTATATTTTTTCATTTCAAAAAACACTAACTTTGCCACTGAATTCTAAGTAAAAATATATATCGGATGCACTATTCACTTTTCACCAACATTTCATAGGATACCAAAATCACACTGTATTTTATAAACTTCTTATAGTAGGTCGTAAAATATACATAAATTATTATTATTATTAATATTATTATTATTAAAAGTTTTATATTCAAAAATTAGTTAGTTTTAGTTAATTAAAATTAATTACTATCTAGTACTAAATTATTATTTAGAATGATGATTATTTTTAAGATTGTTTATAGCGACTCAGGTCTTTACGTGTCACCAATATGGGAATCAGTCTTCCGAGACGGTGACAACATATAAGCAGGTACAGAGCAAAATTCGAGAAAGTTTGAGTCAAGCTCTGAAGAACCCAACAGGATGATTGGCGAAACGTTAGAAAGCTTGTAGCAAAGTATTACAGTAGCATGTGGAAGTTTAAAAAAAAAGAATTAGTACCTAAATTATACGTTTCGAATAATAATATTTACTAATTTTGTTGTTTTCAGATGATACTAAGAAATAAATGTCCATCAGAAAATGTTTGAAGTAAAATTTGTAAGATCTTATAGTCACAAAGTAATCGTTGTTTACAAGGATCATTGGTCTAGTTACTTCTAGGTAGTCCTGAATCTGTTGTCATTTTCAATTTGAAAAAATCTCAAATATACGCTGTTTACGGGCCACTTTCGTGACATTAAGGATACCATCAACAAAATTATTATGGTCCCTTTGGTTTTTGAGATACAGGGTGAAATCCAAAATTATCGATTTTGGGACTACCTCCGTATATCTGTGTCTTATGTGTTATTGAAAAGTTTAAAACACGTTCATGTAAGATTATTTTTGTAGAATGACGTAGTTTGTTTCTTACTTGCTCTAACCACTGTTTTGTTATAAAACAAAAATATCTTTTTTTAAATGGAACTCCTTTTATATGGACTGGAAACTCGAAGAAATTTCCAAGTCCAATGATATAAGTCATAACTCTGAACTTTGAACACCATTTTCAGATGACAACTTCCCTCAAAAATGGACTGGTACCAACGGACCTGTAAGATGAACTCCAGAACCTCTGGATCTTTCGGTTTTAGATTTCTTTTTATGGGGATATATGCAAAATAAAGTATATAAAATGCGATACTAGTCTGCAACAGAATCTCGAGAGGCAATCGATTTAACTTCTTCGAAGGAGAGCAACAATTATTTTAAATGCCATTAAAAAATTAAGAAAAATCTGCGAGTTTTGCATTCAGGAAAATGATCTCGAATTTGAACAACAGTTTTAGGTATAATATTTAGATATAAAAAAATTAAATTTTGAACTTAATTTTCAAAACAATTTTATACCTATATTTCTGAAAAGCCTATAATCATAACTAATCATAACTAATGAATAGTTAGAGCAAGTAAAAAACTACGCCACTGAATTCCACCGAAAAAATCCAATAAGAACCTATTTTAAACTCTTCAATAACTCATAGGACAACACAGATATAGGGATGGTCCCAAAAACCATAGTTTTGTATTTCACCCTGTATCTCGAAAATCAAGAAAGCCAACTAAACGACAACTTTTTCTCTTAAAAAATAACCTGAGATAGGTAAGAGTGCCCAAAATGGGATACCCGGTACACGTAACTAAGTGTTTAAATAATTATAGTCTAAGGAGCCTTCAGCGGGGCGCAACCGATATTTCAAACACGCTGTATCGAAACACTTGAACACTTGGTATAGTTGGGTTCTATGTACTCCTGAATAAGAATTCGTTGACAATTTATAATTTTTTAAATCGGCAATAGTACTTCTTTCTCATCTCTCTTTTGTTAAATAGTCCCAGTTGCCCGTACCTTTAAGGAAAACAAGGTTTTAGTACATTTTGCAGGGATCAACAGAAATGATCAATAGTTTTAAATGGAACACACTTCACATAGTACTCTAAGCTGAAATATAGAACGATCCCACGCATAATATTACTTTATCAGAACTTCCGCGTAGCATGAAAGAGGCACATCCAACCAAACTCTCGGCGATGGCTAACTGCAAAGTGCATCCGCGCTACCGGTGGTACAGGTCAAGATTATACGTTCTTCCAAGTCGCAGCACTTTTTTCTTTTCTGTCGTTTTCTCAGTATTTCGAACAATCTTAAGGCTAACTAGGGACTCTACCCCGACGCGTTACCACAAAAAAATACGCACGCCTATCTATATATAAGAAGAAGTCTGCGTCGAGATGGACGTAGAAGTTGTCTGCAACGACAAGTCTAAAGATTAACCACCATTGTCGCCATGTTCAAGTTGGTAAGCTACTTAATTTTTAGAAATGTAAGAACCACCTTAGATGCTTAAAATTATGAGGAAAAACTCAGTATTACGCTATTGATGGGAAAACTATAATTATTGAATTGAAAATTGGGCGAAATTTAATTTTTTTTTATTAAAAAATAACAGAGTACTTAAGAACGTGGAGGGAAAAGAGCTAACAATTGTAATTTGCAATAGATATATCTAATCTAATAACTAATCGGAATATACTCTTTAAAGTTATCCTATATAAGATCAGATTTCGTAAAAATTTCAAGGAAATTAAAAATGCCACTTCGTTATGCTTCAGCGGTTTTGAGCTTTTCAGTTATTCGTTGGGTGCTCATCCTCTTTGTTGCTTCCATTATTTTCTGCTATCCTTAATTTTTTATTTCTGGTCAAATACAGTGTTCCCCACTGCCTTGTAAATTGTTTATGACTCGCTTTTCATTTTTTCTTGTTCGATAGGTCTCTCAAAAAGCACTTATTTTGCTTAGTGTTTCAAGTATCATTAGGGATTTTTTAAATAATAAATTGACAAGGAAATCTTATTCAGGAGTACTTAACACCCGACTATACCAATTTCTATTAGGTGTGTATAAATTTAGTTACCCAAACTTGTTTGTTTGTTTTACAAACTTATGAAATAATTTGTTGAAAAAGTTGAATTCTTTTAGATTTTTAGAAAATTGTTTTTGGTTTGATTCTTTATATTCACCAGGAAGCAAGTTTTTTTTTTAACAAAAAGTGATTAAATTTAAAAGCTTGAGATTGATTTTTTGTACATGCATGGTGACTATGGACATCACATCTATTAAAAATTTTGCATTTTGACCCTGGGTGAGGGGTTTGTAAAGATATATCCCATAGAACGTTAAGGGTTTTTTGATTTAAAACTTTCTTTGCATAATGGCGGTCTAATTGTAACCTAATTAAAATAAGTAATATTTGATTTATTTGCCGTTTTAAGCAATTTATTTTTTCCTGCACATGGTGTCCCTATAATTGAAGCAGATCGAATTGGATCATATTTGTGCCGTAGAAAACAGTGTTACGAACGCAAAAAGTGAAACTGTGACAAATAATTGCGGAGTGCCTCAGGGGTCGGTACTAGGGCCACTGCTGTATTCACTGTTCTAAACCTGGGAGTGTAGATCTTGAGAGCACGATAATAACATATTGTGTCAAAAATAATGCGCATCAAACTTCAAAATTAATCTAGAGAAAATTAAATGAACGATCTTAAAGCCAAAAAATTAACAATCAGGTCACTGCGAGATCAAAATTGAAATGTGTATTCTTGACAATTCGATGAAGTATATGGGCGTCATTTAAAAAAAATTACCCTTATAGGAGCTACCTTTAGATTTAAAGTTAAGTTTTAAGTTTTTGCAATTTCTAGTGTGCTTCATAATCATTATATAAGGTTCCCTATAATGCTCTAGTGATAGTGATGCTTGACTATCTATAACTTTGTCAATTATCTTTAAACTCGTTTAAAGGAAGATTAAAACTAGTGCCTTTGTTAAACATCTGTGTGCTTTTGATATAATTACTTAAATTACTGTCTATTAGAAATTTGTTTAGGAAAGAAAAACAGTGTAACTGATTATAACCATATAACCACACCAAAAAAATATAAAAATATTATAACGAAAATTAAAAATTTTTGAGTGTATGAAATCGAGTTTTCGTCTTGTCAATAGGCGTATCAACTTCATATTGTTTAAAGCCAATAAAGGTAGAAATATTGCACTCTGAAAAACATTTTAGTCGACTTTAGAATGATCTTTTCATGAGCTTGCCTGGTTAGAACTTGTGCCTCATTCCTCTTTTGTCTATATTTTTTCGAGATTTGTTCACTGTTGTTTTTTAGATACTTATTAAAGGTTTTCCTTTGTTTAATTGCTGCTTTTATTATTCTTCTTGTTTATTTAATGTTTACTTTTATAGGCACATCTACCATCACGGTTATTTTTTCTAATAGTTATTAGCAAAATTGCTAGTGGAACACCCCGTATATTTTGAGTTATATGATGATCCGGTTTTCCAATTATTTCCAGTTTATTTCCGATTGGTTTATTTATAACTCGGATAGAATCGCTGCGGAGTATCAAATTTCCATTTTTTCGATAAATGTGATGCTATAAATATTTCCACATTGAGGGCCCTATTGAAATTGAAAGATCTAAAAAAGACGGTTACGGAAAAGGAAACCGGATAAAGAGGGATCTCGGGCGGAAAATTGTATGTCCAAAATCTATAAGCTGTTTGTTAAAGGATTCAGAAGGTTTGCCGACATTAACACAACTGTTTTCATCATTCGGAGTTAAAATTCCGCTTTCTGGTAGAACTAGTTTGTAGCATGTTATTTTGGTACTAGAGTACTGCTTACGTTTCGCCTATCATGCTGTTGGTTTCTTCAGAGCAAGTTCGTTTCAACAACAACCCAGGAATCCAGAAGTTTTGTAAATTGCTTAATATCTACTATAGTCGGTACGATTTGTGATGGCATAGTCGCTAATAGATTATTCATCTTGCTTCCGCTTATACTTTAACAGATGTTGTTCTGCCCTAAATATCTATCTGATCAGTGTAAGACAGCTGTCACCAACGATCACGATTATATTACTTGGGAGTAAGATACAGAATTAGTTGTACTTGGCATGTATTTTCTATGTAATAAACGATCAGGGTGTTCCTTAATGATATATAAATATTTAAGCAACCGAATCTAAATGAAAAAATTATAATAAGTTGGTAAATAAACTATTGTCAGAAACCTCCGTCCATGCAATAAAAATTAAAACATACCGTATAAAATATATTTTGTCAATAGTAAATATACAAGCATGTTCATCAGCAAAGACAAAATTACAACTGTTACTACCAGAAAATGATCCTTCGTCTACATTAATAAAATATTTCCTGCAAGTGTTATACAACTGTTCCAGTTTTCTTTGGTAATTGTCTGGAATGCTGCTGCAGTATCACCGTGCTTTGCCTCAATATTACAATAAAATATTTGTATTAAAGTAAATTTTTGTGCTGAGTCCACACCAACTCTGCAGCATATGGTAAATACTGTGCCACCTTCTCTTTAGGACCGACTATGCTATCGCAAATCGCACCGACTATACATAAAAAATAACAGTAATGATAAAACATGGTTAGGCGTGGTTAGCTTCATTCTTGTTGTTTTCGGGATCAATATCCAAATTTCTTAGTTTTTCCGAATCATAATCCGTTTAGAATGATTGGTATTAATGTTGTTTATTTCAGTCTTAATTCCGTGTCTAGAAAAATAAATTTTATTTTTTATACGACTCAATAAAAAAGTTTCTATATCCGTGAGCTATTCCTTGTCAGCTGGCCATTTGGTGGTTCCGTGTTTATTATTTATTGTTGTATGTGGAGATGCTTCCCAGTGTTGTCGAATACTTTATCTATTAACCTGATAATGCACCTTCATAAATTATAGGACTTACTATTTCAGCATTCTACAAGGAAAAAATATGTTTTTTCTGCTATTTCTTTTTGAAACCCCTTGTATACGTGAACATAACACGGAAGAAACGCTTCAGTTGTACCTTACATCTTTTATATTTTTTTTTTCTTCTAAAATTTGGAAAAAGTTATGGGGTGGTCATTTCTAATGGACAACCCTGTAGAGGATTGTCGTAATAGGAATCTTTTAATAGGAGAATAATATTAATTAAATTAAATAATATTAAATTACATTTCCAATGGGAAAATTTATTTTACATTCTCTTGTACTTGGAGTGATTAAGCGAGAATTGGAGCACAGAAAATCCTCACGCTGTAGTGTATCAAAGTCCGCAAGGTCACTTTGGATTCAATGTTTGGGTAGGAATTTTTCAAGGAAGATTTGTGGGATCTTATTTTTTTTTTAATGAATATATAATATATATTTGGAAGACTTTTGTTTGCTTCCATCAATCTTGCAGGGTTAGTGAATATTTGCAATTCAGTAATAATATTTATTGTGTTTTATTTTTTATATTATTAAATGTTTCATATATAAAAAGTTATAGACAATTTTCAAAATGGTCGAAAATTGAAAAACGTCTTGTAATCCGGTTGGTAGTGAAGATATCGCACGCGGTTTTAATCATTATTGACATGTAAGTCGATTTTGCTGTATCTAGTTCAGAAATAGGTTTTTCCTGTTAATGTATTCCAATTGCGACCATCCTGCACAGGGTGTGTCTATTATGGACAAAACAACTAAAAGATGAAAAACTATAAAACATGGGATAATTTAGCTCAAAAAGTATCGTAAGCTGTCTCGAAGGAGAGTTTGAGTTTCGTTTAACCCACAGGGTGCTCGAGATATTTGGGAAAATATCATTGGAAATCGGAGTTCGGAAAAGAAATCATTTCATACATGGTCAAAAATATTCTCGAAGCAAAAGACGCATGATATCGGAAGCAAAAATTTAATTTTTGATGATTTTTTAGTAAAGTGCGGGGTGAGTTGGTAATTTGCAAAAAACTGGAAATAACTCAAAAGCTCTGTTTCAGTTGTCGGTTTCTTTCACTTGGCCGTATAGCCTATTGGGTGTGGCGTTCGTAATAGGTGCCTTAAATTTACAGCTATGGTCTTCAGATTTGGTAGGGTATTAGAAGTCCACACCCATACTCAAAGTATTAAGGTTGTGCGCAATCGAAATTCGCAAAGTATTAAAAAAAATGGGTTATTTTGGCTTCCAGGAAAAAATGATTTTCTCGAAAACTATTAACCCGATCTGCAAAATTTGCAAACCAGGAGGCTTTTATTTCAGCAGTTTTTTTTTTGATAATACACGTAAAAAAATATGGCTATTTAGTTCACACAGTAATGTAGGTTGCATCGAGACGTACAATTTTTGCCTATCACACACGCCTCTCGAGATATTTCAAAATGTCCATGTGACAGTCGCTATATCTCGCACTCAATCTAGACGCGATGACGTCATTTACTATTACGGCATGGTTAGTATTTTCTCGAAAACCATTTACCTTATTGAAAAAAAATATATACCAGGAAACGTGGGGGATCCAGGGCTATGACTTTTTGTTCTACCATTTTTTGGATTGGATTATGTACAAGGTGTATCGATTATGGGCAAAAATATCAAAAAGTCCTGAAAATTGTCGTTTCATGGGCAAATTATTAGTCATAAATGAAAAACTATGAAACATGATTTGGGTTAAACAATATCGTAAACTGTATCGAGAGAGTTTCAGGTTTCGTCTATCATACAGGGTGCGTGAGATACTTGGAAAAATACGGCGCTTTATACAGGGTGTATGCACAATATAATGACATCGATTTTGAGACATTTTCATACAAACTTGGCGCACCCATGGATGATTTTTCGAAAGCAATCTTGTAACTTTAGAAAAATGGATGAGATCGAATTTTTCGAAATTATGTGCGCCGCCAATTTGCAAAAAACTAAAAATTGGGTTTCCCTTATTTGACCATAACTAGAAGGCTGCGTTTTAGTTGGTAGTTTCTCTTGTTTTCAACGGTATTGTACACACCATCAAGAGGTACACTCTTTGCGTTTACGGATTTCGTCTATCATATACGCTGTTCGAGATATTCGAAAAAATCTAAATAAAAATCCCCATTTCTCACCCTAGACGCGATGACGTCATTTATTACTACGAGGTACTGCATGGTTTCAGAAAACAAATATTTTCTGCAAAATCATTTACTCTATTGGAAAAAATAACACCTATTTCGAATATTGTTTGAATTATATACAGGGTGTGACGTTTATGGGCACAAAATCTAAAAGATCCTAAAAATGATTGGCGATTTATGACAAATCGTTAAAGATGAGATAATTTTATTTGAACAGTATCGTGCACTGTATCGAGAAAGTTTCAGGTTTTGTATATCATACAGTGTGCACGAAATATTTGAATAAATATCATTGAAAATCGCTATTATTTGAAAAAATTTTAATATTTTCCAAAGTTTGCCGTAAATTTGATGTTCGGCGAGACGTGAAAGTCACTTTTATACAGGGCCCAGGCACAATAAGATTACATCGATTTTGCTAAAGTTCCATAGTGATCTGCAGATAGAAAAACAATGCGACCCTCAAGGACAAAAACCCCGAATTGGTTTCTTGCCTCACCCACCAACGATTTTTCGAAAACCATGTTGTGATTATATTTGGGCTGGAATCACAGAAGACTTTAAATTGATTTCAGGTCGCGTTTTTCGCCATTCTGGCTGCCGCTTTCGCTGCCCCAACACCGGCTCCTAAACCGGGCTTGGCCCCAGCGTACAGCTTGGGCTTGCCACTCGCCTACAGTGCCATCAACCAGCCCATAGCCTATTCCAACCTAGGATACAGCAATCTGGGATACGCGTATGCTCCGTACGCCTCGAGCTACTACTACAATTCCGCACCGTTGACTTACATCATTTGAAATGACGACCGCAGTCTAGTGGACCAACACGACTGAGTAGTTTATAAGAAAATTTTTTCCAACAAGACTGAATTTCCGCGGTGATTGTGATGACGAAATTTTGGGATCTGGGAACAAAAATTGGGGACTTAAATAGATAGTAAAAATTGCAAATTAAGCAGGGTGTTTTTTTTTTTGCAAATCAATTCAGCAGATGAAAAATAAAGTAAACCAAAAAAGCTATTAGTATGACTCGGAGAGATTTAATGTACTCTTCCGGAATGCGCCTTACAGGGTCCTGGAGTAGGTCAGAGCCAAAAACTATTAGGTTTTTGAAAGGCAGTATCTATCTGCAGGAAGAGCGAGAACGATTTACTGGAGCACTATAGACTTTTAACGATATGCTTTGAGGTCTCTGAAATTTTCGAGTTCTGCTACCTAGATTAAATTAAAGCATTTTTGATTTTCAAAGAACAAGTGTAGATTTCTTATATAATTTTTATTTTTTAAAGTATACATTTAACTTTTAATAGAATTTAAGGATAGCCGTTGAATAATTGCCAGGTATCGTCATGTTAACTATACAAAAAAAATTATCAGTAATAGGAATAAGCGGAAGGTACTGCTGCGTATACTGCTCCAGCAGGGTAGGCGTATGGGACTCCAGCGCTGTAAGCTAGGGGAGCAGCTCCGTAGGACACCACCAGAGGTTTGGGCTCCGGTTTTGCATCTGGTGCCGGTGCTGAGAAGGCTACTGCCATTACGGCGAAGAGTGCGAACAACTGAAATTAAAATGACAATAAATTTATCTTCTCAAAATGTCCAAAATAACAAGCAGTTAATTATTTGTGATTTAATTTTTATATTTTACCAACGTTTGATTTATCTCATATAATAAATAAATCTCTAAACGGTGTATCATGAAACATGTATTAATACTTATCATATAGATCAAAGATCGAATTTTTTTTGAATATAGCTAATAAACATCAAGTACTATTTTAAAATACAATAATACAATAAATATATCTTAATTATTTGCTTGAAAACTAGATTTTCAAAAATTGTTTTATTTTGTTTATTGTTTTTAAGACTATTAAAAGATTTAGTGGGTTGTGAGATTGCTAAAGATTCTCAATATTGTGTAGGTTGCTGTGTAATAGATAGGAAAAGATTTTTGATAATACTATGTTATCGTTCTTCAGTGGTAATAAATGGCTTTTTGTGGAAAACATCGAAAAACTTAGCCTAACAACAATATTAATAAAAACGCCTATTGTAAAAAATGTGTTCTATAATGTCCTGTTATGATTTTGTTTGTTTTGTTTTGCAAATTTTACTAAGAATTCTTTATTTTGTACTTTCGACAATTATAATTTTGATTCACAGAACTTGAAATTACATCACAAAGTCGAATATTTGTTCAACATCTCGAACTGATAGAAACTTCAGTGAATCAAAAAATTGAGAATATTGAGCAATCCCTGGAGAATTGGTTTCATGCTTATGAAGTTGTTTTGTACTATTTTAGTTTACATTTTCTCGTCATATTTTTATAGATAATCAGTGCTGATTTTACGGAAATAGGGAAAGCTCTGCACGCTTCGGGTATATGACTGGGTCAGTAGTTTTTTTAGAAGATCGTTCTCAATTTGTATCCCATAGAGATGGGTGCCCCTCAAGGTTCAGTTTCATATTACATGTAAATTGTATATGGAAAATTTTACCTTATGCTTTTTGACTTCTCAGTTAATCGTTAATACTACACTTCAACGCAAGCAAAACCCAAACTATAAGATTTTAGAACTATCAGAAACAATGTGATAATTTTAATTTCTGCTTAGGCAATGACACTGCGTCGAGGAGGAATACTGTGATGTTTCTAGGATTGGTTTTGGATGAACTCTGAATCGTATAAACTATCTTTTTGCAAATCGTAGTGAGATTTTCACTAGGAAAAGTTCTCTATTCGATATATCTTTAGCTCATAACCTTAACATTAATGCAAATACGTCTGTGGCCATATTACCTTACTTTAAATTTTATTTTTAATTCCGATACATACTGTAAATTAATAGTTTTTCCAATATTCGTAAAATGACGTAAAAAACAAGGTAATTTGATTTAGATACTACTAATCATTTTAAGTTGAAAAATCTCGATTTTCTTGAATAGCACACCATATACATTATTATTTTTTCTGATTCATAATAATGTTTTCCGATGAACCTACTTTTCGCAGTAATGAAGCAGTCAGGCGTTAACATGCATTATTATTCAACAGTTAATCCATTACGGCTGCGGGAGTGTGTGGTGTGAAACAAAACACTTTAAACTTATTGGACCATATTTTTTTCGCACTAAACGGGTCTAGACATTTAAAGTTTTTGCAGAATAATTTACCTAAACTTTTTCGACAAGTTGAGTTAAATCAATTTTTTTTCTGTGAATTTAAAATTTTGCAGTTATTTTCATTAAAATTGCTAATAAAACTGTCTGTTGCTTTATATACGGCTCCAAATCTCAAAGTATTAAAAATAGGTATATAACATATAACATAGGTTTTTCAGAAAAAATATCGAGACTTTTCAATTTGACATTACTCACCCTGTACAAGTCTAATAAATACAATCATCGGTCGTATATAGGTATAATATTCTTGTTTGATGTTAAAAGTTTTGAAATAAGGTGTACCCTTTTCTAATAAGTCTAATAAGTAGCATATTAGTGCCTAGAAATGTTGTGAAGTGGACTGGTAAATGTACTCACGTATTTGAACATGTTGAAGGTTTAGATGTGCTTGTCACTGAATCAGGAGACAAACTATGGCGTCTAGGATTACAATGTGGCTTTATATACTAATTAAAATGTCCAAATGACACATGAAGAAAAAAGCTATTATCATATTACAATTTGGATCATTTTAATGGATGCATGTTTTTTTTTCGGACTCGTTTGCATTGAACGAATGGCAACAATCGAAATGGAATACTAGAAACAAGATCCGTGAGATCGTCCGTTTTGGGCCGGTCCATTTTCGAAAATCGAATGACGCCAGCCTAATTGTAAAAAAGAACGTTTTTGCGAATTACTGCAATTCCAATTCATTTTCGTGTGTAGTCAAACAGATCCTGCAACTAGCAAGTCTCACATTGTTATAAAAAAAATATAAATATAGTTAAGAAATGGTTAAAAAATTAATTACAGAGTATTTAATCACAGATCCCAGTTGTAGTTGAAAAGAGGGTATACCTAATAACAGACTATTTTACCAAAAACAAAAAAAATGCTGTTTATAATGGATTTTGTCTCTCGCATTTTAGAATCGCGCAAAACGCTAAGTTTTTTTTAGGTTTTTTTCAAAACCGGAGAAGCAAAACCAATTGTGTTAGCGTTTACTAGTTCTTTTAGATATAACAAAAAATTTAAATGTGGGGATTTGAAATATGCTGGATGCATATAATCACTTCTAGTTATCAGGGAAGCTAAGAACAATTCTTCTTTTAGAAATCGAAAATAGGACTCACCAGTTAGAAAATGTAGCCCAATTAAATGGCCACCTAACCAAACGTTAATGGAAAACTAATATTGATATTGAGAAACTCGGTTCGTGCCAAAAAAGAATTTTTGTTGATAAAAAAGGGGATTAACGGTATTCGTTTAGGGAAAAAGAGCTTCTTCCCTACATGTCCTGTCGGTTAAGGCGTCTGATTAGAAACCAGTTTCTTTATGGCAGCAATCACCATTGTTTTGCTTAAAAATGTCTTTTTTTAATTAACAGTAATCAAACAGGTTAAGATTTTGCTATGCGATTTGCGAGGAACAAAATTTTTAAAAAATGATACCCTATTTTATGCGGATATAACTGTTGTTCTTTTGTTGTTGTTGCCTTTCAATTTCTTCCTTTATTATTATACATATTTGTATATTGGGTCAATTAAATTATAGGAATGACAGTAAATGATATGTTCCATTACTGTTTTGTCAGTTTTTTTTTAATACAAAGTCACTCTTCTTTTCATTGTTAAATACGATAAACTTGTAAAAATATCTTTTCACCGCCTTTCTCCGTAGCAGTGTTGTTTCTAGTAATAAGGCTTCATTTAGCGCCAATTAGACCAACATTATTTAGTGCAACTGTGTGATGGGAAAAGGTATTGTTTTGCACATCTTCTTAGAGTCTTTAAAAATTCAAGCAAGATGCGCGAAAAAAATGTACTAACTAATGTCTAAAAACTAATGTCGATTTTTTGGCAAAAATATATTAAGCTGCTAGAGAATGCTCAACGCAAATTTGTTAATGCCCTAAATATAAATGAGAATGGTAAAACAAGTTTTGATTTGGTTAGTTTTGGTGAGGTGCAAACACTTTTTTCGAATCTTCGCATGATTCTATACATTTTTGCTCTGAGCTTCATTAATTATTTCATAAAGTTTTCTAATATCTTTATTATTATTATTTACTTTTTTTTATTTATTTATTAAGTAATGCAGTGGGTTTTTATTCAGTTTTTTTTTTATTTTGTCTCTAGTTTTTATAGGCGTAACTATTTGTAGTTGTAGTTCTTTTAAAAGCTACTTTTAATTTCAGTTAAATTGTTTAAATAAAATAGTTTACGCAGTTAGTTTAAGAAATGTTTATTAATAAATTATATACAAATATATTTGTAGGGCGATATCTCTCCAATGCTTAGTTTTTGACCCAAAGTTTATATAACAAACTTCACTTCAGCGGGCAAAAATATTATATTGTATATGAAACCCATTTCAGCGGTCAACATAAATCAGTCGATATTAACCCTATAAAAAAATTGGTATATTGTCAACTGGTTAATTATTCTTGTCAAACAATGTCTTCCTACGGATCGCTGTGATTAGTTCCTGTTACTCTATTACGAATATTGCAGATAATCCGAGGCAAACCGCTTCGTGAGACTTTAAGACGTAAAAAATATATATATCACCATATCTCGACTATTGTTTGGGTGTTGAGGATATCTCGTTGTATATAAAAAGACACCGCCGCTAAAGAAATCATAGTTTGTCTCTAGATTCGGTGACAAGTAAATCACAACCTTCAACATGTTCAGATATGTAAGTAAAAACGCATGGAAACGAACTACTATTTTCAACATTTTTTTTTATACTGTGGTTTCAATTTTGTGGTATCTCATGGTATTTTATGAAGAAACTCTCGAACCATGTCTCAATTTTTGAAAAGAATTGTCGCACATAAGTAGCTACATTAAATTAGAAATTGTCTGCAATTAAAATTTAAATTTAAAAAAGATAAGTTAAATGGCATTTTATGAGATTTGTTTGGAAGCGAAAATCTCGGATAATGAGCACAGAATGACGTTTATATCTCAATTAGTGATATTTGGTAACTTTCCAAGTTATTTTAATTGGTTGGTCACTACTTGCGTTAAATCTCAGCATCCGGCTGCTTTTCCAGATGCTTTTGTTTTTGGTTGTTGTTTTAGATTTGTAAAAATGAACGTAAAGAGATGAACTAAATAACACACTTTTGAAAAATTCGTAAGGTAATTATTCCAATTAACTCTGTATAAGGACTAAAACACTAAGATTCATCAAACGGATTAGAATTGGTCATTTCCATCCAATAATCCATTTAAAAATTAAAACGTTGTGATGTCCCAAATTTTACCAACACTGACGGTACTTTTTACAAAACTTTTGGATTCCTCCTGCGTAGGTTTTTGCTGACTCGAACTAGCTAACGTTTCGCCAATCATCCTGTTGGCTTCTTCAGAGCTTGACTGAAAATCACATTTTTATTATATTTTTTTTTTTAGATTTTGGGGGCTCCGTTATAAAACGGAAGATTTGGTTTATATTGCACTGCTGGTTGCCGACCTATGGTTGAAAATATTTTATTTTAAATTGCACCCTACATCTTAATTGTCTGATGAATCATCAAATGGGTGAAAACGTATTATATCAGATCATATAATTCGGTGACGTAAATAAAGAAATACAAACATCCCATTTTTTCTAATGCCCATATTAGGCCGTGCAAAACAATACTATTTTTATATAAAACGCATCTATATACAGGGTGTCGTTTTTTCGGGTATTATTTAAAAAAATCAACAATGAGAATGCAAATTTGACACCCTGTATCTCGGTTAATATCAACTTTTGGACTAAGATAAGTTATGGTCCACCCTGTATAAGCTGTGATTCACGGTGGGCGGTAGGTTAGAGTGAGGCATGGGAGTGCGAACAAGATGGCAGATAAGTGTAGAAATAATTAGTGGAAGTTGTTTAAATTTTTATGTCGAATGCAATAAAAAACTGTTCCGTTTGAAATTCCAGTGTTGTCACTGATTTCGAGTGGAAGTGGCAACATCGCAAAAACGAAAATATTTTTGAATTGTACTTCAGGAGCAATTATGGCCATATACCAACTTACACAGCAAAATTTATTTTTTTTGTCCTAAGACTTCTAGTGAAGTTTGACCTCTGCAACTTCGTTTTTTTTTTTTTTTCATTTTTCAATTTTCAATTTCGAAAAATTTAGGTATAGACACATAATATATCAATTGATTTAGTGCTTTTAATTACTAATACATTAAAAAAAGGATTTACAGAAATAATGGAAAAGTGATGGCAGATAGAAAACTGATGGAATATTCTTGTTATTGTCTTGTTTAAAAAATCGAAGATGTCGCTACTTTTCAATACAAGTGGCCACACTGCATCACTGAAAGTATTTTAGATTGATGGATGAGTTAAAAATTCCTACCGAACCTAGTCTAACCTTGCGATTGCAATGAAAATATTAAAATGTCTCTCTTTTTGTAACAGTATCAAAATGCTAACGAAATTTTTATGTTCCAGTTGTTCGCGCTTTTCGCCGTATTGGCCGTCGCGTTTGCTGCACCCGAACCCGAAGCAAAACCCGAACCGAAGCCACTGTTGGTTGCCTACGGAGCCGGTCCGGTGGCGTACTCAGCCGGTGTGCCATACGCTTACTCCGCTGGGGCTGTATACGGCGGAGTACCAGCTGTATACTCCTATTACAGATAAAGAATTTATATTCGATGACCCACGCAATTCTTTAAAGGACCAGAATGTTAGCTTGTATAATATGTAACTAAATAAAATATATTAAAACTTATTCGGAGTTGTTAAGTTTGTCCCAAAGTATATCGTGTTGGCTTAAGCCTACATTTGTCGAAGTTATCGATGTTAAGGGGCAGATCGTAAGGGAGGGATAATTTGTAAAAAAAATAATGGTTGATACACTCCATAGACGACGAAAATATAAAATTTTGCAAAGCTTTAAAACTTCTAAATATTTCTAAGCACTCTGTTCATTATGATTATTATATACCAGGTTTTTCAATAAGGGTAATCAGGTGCGGTATGGGTGTTTTTTGAAGTAATAGCAAAAAAAAATCTGAAAAAACGTCATTAGATAGTCAAATAAAAGCCCAACAACCCACTGAAAACCGCATCTCAATTTCTTTATCCTAACCTAAAATATGAATAAAGGAATTTAAAACTTAAAAGAAGGTGAATTTTGATAAGCATTTAGGCACTACGGGTTGTTATTAAAATGAAAGTTCGTTCTTTCTTTTGTTTAAGTTAGTGATCGATATTATGGGGCAGATCGTAAGGGGGGATAATTTAAAAAAAAATGACTAATATGCTCCATAGATGACAAAAATATAATATTTTGGCAGAAGCTTAGAAACAAAGGTTTAAAACAGGAAAAGGATGTTCCTAAAAAATTGAAAAAAAGTATAAACGCTTTAATTTTTTTTCTGAAATGATCACCAGAGGACGTAGCGGTTTGATACACAATTTTCTTAAATTATCGATACTTAGAGTATGCTGTTTTAAAGCTGATACAAATTGAAATGTTTTTTGTCCGATGCTTTTTACTCTGTATATAAAAGAAAAATGGTGGCAGGTGGTTCAACCACAAAATGGCTAACCAAAACTAACCAAAACTAACCAACCAAAACCAAACAAAGCAGTAGAAACCGCATTTCAATATCTCTATCCTAATCTAATATTTGAATAATATAATTATTATGCCCTCTATATTAGCCAACAATTAATTCTCTTGCGTTGTCAAATTAACGATTATCCATTTTAAAATTTCTTGGATGTTAATTGTTTTAACCTGAAATCTTAACGGTTTGAACCTGTCATTTTTATGTAAAATTATTACTTTGTTTTCCTTCCTGTTTTCGTTAAAGATACTACAAAAAGGGTCAAAAGTAAAAATCAAATAACCATTACTAGAAACGGCATAAGACACGCAACTTCGATGTTATATTTTAATGGCGTAGATTAGTCACATACGCGTATGTTCCTTTCTCAACAAGTGAATAAATGTTTTAAATCTGACAGTGCTTTTTGATAATCCACGTGGGAATCCAACACAATTTAATACTAAAAAGAAGTTGAATTTTGGTAAGCGTAGAATGGAGAGAGTTGGTATTGAAATGAAAGTTCGTTGTTTCTCTTAGTTTATGTCAGTTCATTTACAATACCATAGACAATATTACAAAGTTGTAATGATATCCTAATCTGTTTTTAAATACTGTTAAAGACAAAACGCTATATGCATCTTTCATGTCGTTGTTTCCTGCTTATAAAAATTTATTTTTTTATTTAACTTTTGATTTTTTAAAAAAATGTATTATTCAAGCGAAGCATGCTTGTGTTTTCCCAGTGTCATCATTACGCAGAAAATTACAACAATAGAAAACATTTAAGTAGATTGGTATTTAAGTAAATGTTTGGGCGAAACTGGACGAGTTCATCCTAACCCAGTGCCTATAAGACACGTAAGGAACGAAGAAAATGTTATTTAAGCTTAAGAGTTTGGACTTGGGAATTAGTATAACATAGATAAGGAAGATAAGAAAATTCTAAATATTGTGCTTTTGACACTATTTAATGTGTGCACATATACTTTAAACAAAGAAATATTGTTATTATTATTATTATTATTATTATTATTATTATTATTATTATTATTATTCTTGGTTGCTTTACACTCACTTTTATTTATACTTAGCCCGGGCGGTCGATGAAAGGGTAAGTATTTTGTACCCTTCATCCCGCTTCATGCCAGAGTAAAGTCTGTTCATAGATATAAGAAAGTGACTAACTGATACGAATTAAAGAAAGACCCGGGCAAGCTGTAAGAATGAAATATGGCCGAACAGGTCCGTATTTTGCTTAGAATTTAATTATTTGTCGTTTTTTTAGGAAAGATACTAAACAATATTTATTTATTTATGTATGTATCAGTATGCAGATAACCAACAACAACCAAAGACTTAATTTTTGGAATTTATGGTAATATTAAAAAAGCTCCAAATATATTTAGTTTAGTTTAGTAAATAAAAATAAAATAAGATGATTCCCACGTATTTTCAAAATGTAACTGAGTTGTTTCCTTTTCCCTGTTGTATACTGTCTTCGATTCTAGTTTTTCATTTATAAATTTTTTATTGCGCCTTTTTTCCAGTATATGCCGATTCCAAATTCATTTTTTTAATGTCACACCATTTTTTAAACCCATTTCGTACTTTTTATGAGAAAAAAGTTGTAAAACAGAAATTGAATGCAAGTAGGTATTGCTGGTTAAGTTGGTAAATTGTTACAATTACATTTGCATCAGTAAAGAAGGTGAATATGATGCCTCAAAATAAAAATAATTTTTGTTGGATGCGGAGGCGCAACGAGAACTTAAGGACAACTCATTTACAACTTTGTAAAGAAAAGCAACATCAAAACAGTTTCTTCGAGTTTCAAGCGACTTCAAATCATAACATTTTAAGTTTTCTTCGTATCCAAAGTTGAAGTGGTTAAAAAGTTTTTTTTGAACTATAAATTGGAATCAAACTGTGGATGAGTACTCTAGTACAGACCTTATCATGGTTTGATATGATATGTATGTATGATATTAAGAATAATCTGTGGTTTCTACAATAATCACTAGTTCTAAGAAGATTGCTCTGGAGCTTTAATCTCTTTTTTTACTTAAAAAAAGAAGCATAAATACAATCCGAAAACAAAAGCCAATATCGAAAAGATAAAATATTAAAAAGTAAAGAGCCCAGACGAGATCTCTGGGGGACACCCGAGGTAACACTTGCAGAGTTCTTTCTGTAATATAGCTTTGCAATAGTTGGAAAAGGTCGCCATGCACACCGAAATTTCCGGTTTTATCATCAAAGTTGCATGTTGCCTTGGGAAAATCGGTGCACACGGCCCACGTCTCCAAACCATTACGCATGGAAAAATTGGTGTCATGGATGAACGGTATCGCGTTTGTAAGAACTGTCATTGTCATTTTTTACTAGAGAAAACAACCATGAATAAATTGCAGCATTAAAAACCTCGGCAAAGTGACATAATAGAGACGATAATTAGCGGCGTCTGTAGAATCACCAAATTTAAAAATAGGGACGATGTGGGCCACTTACCAGCTTTTTTGAAACGTCCGTTGACCTAGACATTTATTAAGAGGTTTCGACAAAAGGGGGCAATTTTTACAGGCATATGGTGCGGCCCTGGGCCCTTTTATGATCCAATATTTTTTCAATAGAATTTTCCATTTTTTTTTATTATTAAGAAACGAATAAAAATTGTATCCGTTTTCCGATTTTCTTCGGTTTCTACAACGTATTCTTTATAACCAATTATTTTACTGAGTTTCGAAAATACTGAATAACCTTCAGCTTTCTTATATCTTTTCCACATTTGTCTTGCTTTCTCTTTCTGCCGCACATGTACATTTTGTGTTAAAGGAGGTGGGGGGTGATTCGAAGGATTCTAAAACTTTAGAAACAAACCACAAACCAATATCTGCAAAAAAAAACTGTTACGCAATGAAAAGAACTTGAATTACCTAACAAACTAGTTTATATTCAGCGGGCCGATGCTCCAAGGACGACGATACTCTACCGTAGGTGTAAATAATACACCGATCGCATTTTTAATGAACCGTTTTCTTCTTTTGTTGTTGAAACGTGTGTGCCCACTTTACACGTCAAATTCAGGCACGTGATCCGCTCAGACCGGGTTGAATTTTGTCACGCTTTTAACACGTTGAAAGGGAATTGATTTTTCCCGTGACGCAAGTCAGTTATGCAAAATGCGAGCTTCTATGGGGGTAAATGTTTCAATCGATTATATAGAGTGAACTTATTCTTAAATATTAAAAAAATACACGTACGCAACATCCAAGGGAATTACCTAAACTGTGACAGAATGTTCCATGTTAGGGGCGATATCGAGCAGATTACGTATACATATTTTTCGACGAATAGAACACCTCATATGCAATATAGAAAAATAATGAAAAACAAAGCTGTTGTAGCGGATTTACATGGAAAATTTCTAAATATAAAGAAAACACTCCAATATGTTGCCTAAATTTTCGCTTAAAACTATTTAATTTTGTTTATTTATTATTCACTAATTTATTTAATTACAAACTTAACAGAATTACTTCCATATACTGAGTAGAGTGGGAAGAACCTGTATTTATTTTTGGAGGTTAGATTTAAGCTTACTGACTGACGATACATGCTTTAAATTACACTCTGAGTGGTCTTGATTACACAATTTACACATAATACAAACACAAACCATCAATTTTTAAACTTTTGAAAGTTGATTTCGATGATTTATCCAATATTTCTATTAGTACAAGGAAAAAACCGAATTAAAAAATGTAAACTGAATAACAAATGTCTCAAACAATAGTTAAGTACATTTATTTTGGGAAAATCTCTGTTAGTCGAAAAACTTTTTCTGGATTTTCATGTATATTCCATGGTTGGATTATTACATCATTTAATAACATCAGTTAATGAAACCCAGGGAATCTTTTCAGATTCGAAAATGCTATTCACAAAGTCTTGATGTTCCAGTAGTCGTCTTATGTGAGGACCTACAAAAATTCCCTCCTTTAATTTAGCATCTCAGAGAGCGAGAAACTGTCCACATAGGTTCACGAGGTGTGTTCAAAACGTAAGGTGACTTTTAAATTTTATCAAAAAGTATTTATTTATTTCTGGTATAGCCTTGAATTCTTCAAGTGGTTTTTTATTTATCTTCTCAATCGTTCATGGGTTTCTTGAGTTTTGGGAAAATGAGAAAGTCGCAGGGGGCCATATCCTTTGTATATGGTGGCTGACGCATGATTCTGATTTTGTTTTTGGCAAAAAAGTTATACACAAGCAACGATGAGTGAGCAGGTGCATTATCGTGATGCAAAATGCATGATTTGTTTTCCCACAAATCCGGACGTTTTCTTCGGATTGCTTCTCGCAAAAGCCGTATAACTTTATTGATCCTCCAACCTTGTGGTAAGAACTCTTGATGTCTTATGTCACGATAATAAAAAAAAAAACAATTCTTGGCGATTCTGGGTTCTTCCTTGGGACGACTGGGCTTTTGTTTCGACGTCATAGTCAGTTATGGCCTTTTTGAGCAAACTAACCAAAACACATCTAACGCTTCTGTCTAATAAAAAAACTAGACGTGCAAACTGGATGAAACTACGAACATATATTAAGCGAAGATTGAACAATTTCAAAAGTAACCGCACTTTTTGAACACACCTCGTATAAAACATGCTACTAACTAAACTTAAGCTAAAGTAAAAGTTCAGATTTTCACGAAATTATATATTTTTACATGACAATTGTTTCGACAACACCGTGTCTTAATCAAATGTAATATTAACAAACTACTTGCTACCATATATATCGAAAAATGACAATAAAAGAATAATTAATGTTGTTTCTGAATTTAAGTTCGATAAAGGAAAAGTATTTAAATCTAATTGATCGTTAAGCAATAGGGGAAAACCGGGTAAGATGACGAAGCGACTAAGATGACTAACTTTCGTTATAAATTCCTAAATATTATAATTCTTCATGAAACTTACGCGGACATCCAGAAATAAGTTTCAGAACTAAATTTTTTACTTGTCTTGGCGCTGCAGTATGCAAATCCACAGTTATTTGACATTTTCCGCTTGAACAGCTCAGGTTATAATTTTTGTGGTCTTAAAAATAGTGTTTTATGGTATCACAACGTATCTATTTGAATATTAATTAATCTGTATAGCGAAAATAAAGTTTAAGTCAAAATATTGTCTTGTTGTTTGCCAAAAATAATAGATTTTGAATTAGTTTTGACGTTTTTAATTCTACGTGATGGTGGCGGGTGAGATGACGCGGCTAAGATGACAGATTCGTCATCTTACCCACAAGGTATTTTTATGAACGATTTTTGTACAGTAATTGGTTCTGGCTTTTTCAATCTAGAGAACTTTATAATTACATAAAAATTGTTAATGAACGTGCCTTTGGACTTACATTTCTTCAACTGAGAGAAATAGCATATGAATGGATGGCCGGAAAAGATTGGACTGCTAGATTTATCAAAAAATGAACATTAAGCTTGCGAAAACCAGAATCTACGTCGTTGGCAAGATTAATGGGATTTAACAAAGCATCAGTCGGCATCTTCTTCGATATCGTTACTTTAGATAAAACTGAAACTGAAACACTAAAATTCCCAAAGTCTTCAGTCCACGTGGAAATAGAAGAGTGGCAAAAGTAGTTTCAGCGGAAAGGGGCAAGAACACACTGGTGGTCTGCGCGGCCAATGCTGCTGGTTGCTAAAGTTCCACCTTTTTTTGTTTTCGGCAGAGTCCGCATGCAAAACAAACTTCTTCATGGAGCACCTGTAGGGTCAGCAGGAAGCGCGCAGGAAAACGGATGGGTGAATTCGGAGATATTTCTAAAATATCTGAAACACTTCAAGCAACACACGAAATGCTCTCCGGAGGAACCCATTTTACTTTCATTACTTACACGTTACTCTTCAATCCATCGATTTTGCAAGGGAATCTGGCATTATAATGGTCGGATTTCCCCCACATACAACCCATCGACTACAACCAATGGATGTGTCATTTTTTGGTCCCTTAAAAACCTGTTTTAGTCAGGAGTGCGACTGTTGCGTGATAAATGATCCAGGGCAAACAATTACTGACAATTAATTCGCCGCTCAGACGTAGTGGCATTTGTCCATTTGATCGGAATATATTTGATAATTCGGATTTTGCGCCAGCTTTAACCACAGATAGAGAAAGGCCAAATTTGAACTGTGAGGATAGACGAATATAATATCCAGAAGTTAATATGTTAAACGATACTGACAGTAAGGCCGAGGACAATCAACCGTTGATTAAGTTTGTATCAAAGCAAAACAATCTGGATGAAAATCCAACACCGAATCCTGGTAATTGTATGAACCGATAGAAAAGACATGCAGCAAGAATTATAACGTCTTCACCGGTAAAAAAAGAAGAAAAAGAAAATCTTGCCATTGAGAAAGAAAAAAGAATAAACGAGAAAAAGAAACAGAGAGAGCTGAAAAACCAAAGGAAACTTAACGAACAGAAAAATAAAACTCGGAAAAACATGATGAAAGAAAGACTGAATGTGAAGTTATATTGTGTCCGGGATGTGAAGAGACCTACCAAGATCCACTAAAGGAGGAGTGGATTTAGTGCTCGTCCTGCCTGCTAAATTACTTTGTCTGTGACTTCTGTTAATTCGTCAACTTATCCGACATATTGGGTAAGATGACGAATTTGAATTTTTTTTTAAAGTATACATTTTAAATATTTTGAGCTTACTGGATGTAACGATACTGTTTATTTTTGATAAGGAAGTTCCTAAGATTTTGTTATGAGAAAGTTTTGTGAGAATTTATAATAAATAACCAATAATATATACGTTTTTTGCTTAACCTCGTCATCTTACCCGGTTTTCCTCTACATTTGAATGTCTCATTTTGTTAATCTCCATGGCTTCCAATAAATTTAATTTTCTACTTTCTGTGGCTATATGTCAAATATCAAAATTTTCGTTAAAAATGGTTTTTTTTGTGTTTCTATTGTCTTTAAGCGCTCTTTGATGTTCGTTAATGCGTTTCTTGATGGATCTACCTGGTCGTCCAACGTAAATTTTAGGCATTTCAACCGGATTTTTGAGATTTTGGACATTTCGTTTTATTATTTTTTTAAAAATTTTCCTATTGTGTTGTTAGTTCTGAAAGCTATTTTTAAACCACATTTTGTGTTTGTTAGTTATTGATTTGTTTTAAATTGTCCTTACAATAAAATATAATCTGTGATATTTACTATTTATTAACATATACAGTGACGACGAAGCCTTAACTAGTAAAAATTCCCAGTAAATATTCTATTCGTCAGGTAGCCATTTCAGAACCTCAAAAATAATTACCAGCAGTTTCTCTTTGTCAATACAATTCTTTTTTAGTAGTTAAATAAAAACATTACTTAACTATTTTAAATGGATTTTCATCAAGTAAAAGCCACTTCAGTACAATTTTTTATAAATTTTATTTTTTATTATAACGAAATCAAAATTTAAAAAAAAAATTATTTTGGAGGTGCAACATTTTTATTCAAAGCCGACGATGCCTATCAGAGCAAGGCAAATGAAAACGCTATCAAAATACGCGATGATGCCTGTGTTTTTGCTTCGATATTTAAATACGCAAATCGCAAGAATTTGTAATCAGGTCCACTATTATTATTTGGGATATTATCTTCGCATTATTCTTTATAACCCGATTGGAATACTAAATAGGTAATTTTATCCCGAGAACGAGAGTATAAATAGGAAGCAACCGTCCCAATTCGCAACAATATTCCTCGTTAAGTGAAGCAGACAAATCCAGAAAGATGATTAAAATTGTAAGTACCGCAAATGTTTTTACTATCCGATTCGATTCGAGAGAAACCAAAAATTATTACAGAAAAATCAATACTTTGTTCATATTTTTGATCGATCGAGAAGAAAGAATATTGAGCTTAGTTTCATTAGAAAGTATATTTTTGACAACTTTTATTGTCTTCAAAAAGGTTCTTAACTTTCTTATTGGAAAAATCTCAATTTCCAGTAATAATAAAATATAAACCTATTTTGCTGGAAAAAATAAGAAAGAAACTATTCAAAGTTTTACGTTTACTTTACCTGAAATCTACGATACCTACAAATAAACATACAGACGTCAACATAAAACCTTTATTTGTGAGAAAAATAATTGTTTTTTTTCTTGATTCCGCACAGATTTTGTTACGAAGAAGGCATCTAGTCTGCAGATATTATCTATAAAAATTACTTTATGTCCAAATAGTTTCTTTCATATATTCATATCAACTTAAAACCTCCCCTTCTCAGCTTAACGGTTGCCTTTACTTGTCGACTTCGAACAGATTCCAGTCAAAATCAGGTTTTCCAGCCGCTTATCGTCCCGAAATACATCGACATAAAACTTTTTGCAACCTTTTAATCATCTTTGTTTTACTCAAAATGAAAAAAGCCAAGGCAATAGCAACCGGTGTTCGTTAAATCCTTCGACTTGGAGCTCTTTTTTGTGGAACTTAGTCATAGAAGGGGCAGATTACTTTTATTTTTTGCTTGTATTATTAGCACTTTACTAGTACTTAGTTTAATTTAACTGAGTACGAAAATGCACCCTATTAATGCATTGTCTGCAGACGCTTTTTATGGAACAATAAATAACAATAAAACAATACATAAAAACAAAAAAAAGTTTTGGGAAAAGTGTGGTGAATTTAGCACATCGTCCCCTAGGAGATAGGAAGATGTGCCTAAAAGATGAGCCTACCCATTCAACATCTCGCAAGCCTCCATCCCTGTATGTCTTTCAATGTTCAGTTGCCGACACATCTACCAGCTTGGGACATGCTAACAAACGTTAAATCTATCATCCCCAAACGTTTATTTATACAAGTTTTATCTTTTGAATCAAAAATCAAGCCAGAATATTAATCAATCAATAATCTTAATTTTCAGCGACCGATAAAAGCAGAACTTATTTTCTCGAAAAAATACTAATGAAACTATTCCAAGTTTTACCATTCACTTATACGAAATCATAACACTTTTAAAATAAATTAGACATGACGTCAAGACTTTTCACCATATTATGTTACAATCGGCTTTTCCGCTATATATTTAAGGGAAATCTTCATGAAACATGCAGATATCGACTTAAAATTCTTCATTCTGCAAAAAATAATTAGTTTACTTCCGGATTTCGAACAAATTCCAGTCAATATCAGGTTTTCCGCCACCGTAAGCCGCAGATATCAGTTTAAAAAATCACTTTCTGGCTCAAACAGTTGCCTTTCCTTGCCGAGAAAATGCATTTCCTCCCACTTACTGTGCTGAAATCCACATTAAACATTTTTCTGTGTAAAATAGTTGGTTTTCTTCTTTATTTCGACCAATTTCCAGTAAAAATCAGCTTTTCTGCCACATATTGTTACGAAAACGACATCAAATCTGCAGATATCAGCTTCAAAAATCACATTCTGCACAAAATAGTTGCCTTTTCTTTGTAATTTCGATCAAATTTTAGCCAAAATCACTACTTATTGTTCCCAAAACCTCAACAAATCACCAAATATACCATCAAACTGCCCCTTCTGGCTCAGTCAAAATCGGCTTTTCTGTCACTTATTGTACAAAAATCTATATTCAACCTGCAGATACCAACTTAAAACCCCTCTCATAATTTTACAGACATTAAAACCTTTTTAACCTCATTGTTTAAATAAAAACCAAAAAAGGTGAGGAAACGGCAGGTTTTGTTACCGAGTTTCAAATTTTGTATTTGATTCTTCGATTGCTTTAAACGCCCATTCACTCACTACGTCAATTTAATTTCACTCACTTATATTATTGCATTGATTCTAGTCGCTTATTACAGACGAATAAATAACAATAAAACCAATAAATAAATAAACATTAAAAAAGAAGTTTTTGTTTGTTCATCTTGTAAACTAACCTAAAGTATCATGAATTCTTCCCATAGAAGAGTCCAGTATCATTTACTAGGTGTGTTTGCTCTTTCAATCCTCAGCTACTTCTCCAGTGGTGGCACATCCACCAACTTAATAAAAGTTAAATCCATCATTATCAAACCTTTGCTCATACAGGTTGTTTCCTTTGAAGCAAATATCAGGCCAAAATGTCAATCATCATTGTGTCTTTCAGGTGTTGATCCTCGCTATCATGGCCGTTCTAGCCCTTACAGCCGTAGGGTTTCCGAGACCAGGCCCCGAACCGGTTCCAGCTCCACAATATTATGGCTACCCGTATTACGGAGGATATGCTTACCCCTACGCTTACTATGGATAGAGGTTGCAACTTTAATTCTTCCTCTATACATGCCTAATTCGCTTATTATAATTAATATATATAAAATTAAGTAAAACCTTGCCTGCATATGTGATTTTAAATCAGCTTTGAATAATAAATAAAAAACTATTAAAGTTAATTGTGCATTTCTTTGTATATCTTTAGTTAGTCTTAAATTTTAAGTACAGAGAGGGAGTTCACGAATTCATCCAATGAAGACGGAAAAAGTTTTCAGAAGAATTCAAAAACAAGGAGAGTTTTTCCTGTAAAAAAGACAACTTGTGAGATCAAGTGACATCTTATTAAAAAGAGCACAAAAATATTATTAGTAAGGTGGGAAAAAGAAAACCTCTGAAAATATTATCTGACTTCTAAGGTGTGCGCAGAGGCCGCATCTGTTATTTTAAACTTTTAATGAGATTTTTCTCCGAAATACCCTTAAAATCCTTGACAGATTTCACAAATATTTCCACAAACATTTGGAAGTTTACAGATATTAGATGTCAATCTCATCTTTTTAGGTTTGTGGCGAAAGTGAATGAATTTTTAGCTTAGTAAGATGATCAAAGTAAATAGATACTCCAAGAGTTACTAATATTACTGGAAATTCAATTACCAGCAATAGCTTTGAGATTCTCGGTATGTTTCAAAATTTTAGAAGTTAATGTAAATTAGTGATTTAGCTTAGAAAATAGCTTCCTAGTGAATCAACCAAATGAAAATTAACAAATAACAAACCTGTCAATTTTTGATTAATAAATTAGATGAATATCCTGAAACGTGTATTTTTGAAGTCCATTTTCCCCGAATACGGTTCGTCCTAGCGATATCACTCACCATCAATTTGTATCTTTTTCATGTAAGGGAACTCAGATTTTTAGATTATATAAGAAAACGGTCCAAAAGTCAACCCACAGAAACGTTATGACAAGAATTTGTCATTTCTAATTGTAGAATGGCATTCGTCATGCCAAAATTGCTAGAGTCCAAGCCACACTAAAAATACAGGGTGGAGAGCACAGGCAAATGATGTGTCAAAGTACTAAATGTCATTTACCGTTATAGAAAAAATGTTAAACACAAAAGTTATAGATAAAACTGAAAGGAGAAATTTAAAATTATTTTTAAATATACAGGGTGATTCATAAATATGTGAGAAATCAAAAACATATTTTAAAAGGAACCCCCTGTACGTTATTCTAATATGGGGTTGTTATACTACTAGGTCTACTAAGTGTTTTAGGAATAATTGCCATTTTTTTCGTCAGAAATACCTACTGCTTAACACCATATATTTTTGACCTCATTTCCGACAGTGTGCCATGCAAATAAATTATTAAATAAATAAATCGTTTTAACTTAATAAATAAACGAAGTGAAATCTAATTAAACAATCTTTTTTTTTTTGGAGTTTTGTTCTCAGTTATTAATTTTTTTGTGCGAAACTATTGGCAATATAATTAAAATTTCAAGATATCCATCTTTCATATAAAAACATAAATACCCCTTACAGGAATATGATCTGAATTATGATCTGATCAGAAATTCGTTCATAGAATAATTTTTTCTAACTTAAATTATTACTGTGAAGTCAACGCTAAGGTTGTACTCACTGTCTGCTTTCAGTGCCACCATTAATTCGAATGGTTTTGTTCCCTTGAGTCTCCTACATAGATTAGTGTTATCGAGGAGCTGGATTGCCTGGACATGTTGAAGAAGTCTTGACTGGTTCCCCTGACATCTTAAGCATTCAAAGATTCCAGAATAATCTACTGATAAATATCGTCAATGCACCTTCACAAAATCCCCAGAAGTCATAAGCAAAGACTTCTTCAACATGTTAAGGCAATCATCACAGTGATAATTTAGGTTAGAAAAAAATATATTGAACGAATTTCTGATAAAATCACAATGTAAAAATATTCCTGTAAGGGGTATTTCATTTTTTAAAAAATGAAAAATGAAATGAAAAAATGAAGGTTGTTTAAATCCGTCTGGAGTTCGCGGACGTACATACGTGTGTATGTATTACTCCAAATATAATTTCATAGATACCGCTTATGTTCGAAAACTGTTTGCAAACTCTGTATCTTAATAATGTTATTTTATTGATATACATATCTACCAAATGAATATGTTTGTTCCATGTAAGGTATGATTTTTAAATGAATTGATTGAATAAAAAAATAAATGATTTTGGAAATATCGTTTTTTTTTCTTGCTTCAATAAAAAAAAAAATGAAAAAGTTGCTTTTATGGCTGCCATTTTTTTGCTTGGAAGGACTAAAACTCCTTAGGAATAGGGTAACAGAAGGGCAGCATCGATTATGGCTTAAATTAAAACTTAAATAATACTAAATATACGGTTATCGGCAAGTACCCCGTAACAGATAGCCATCTCATTATAGATCAACAATGCATAGAAAAAATTAATAAGCATACTGTTCCAGAGCCGGTCCCTTACATTACATAAAAAAATGGGACTCTTTCGCTGCTGTCTTTTCTGTTGTACTTTATGCTATGGAATGTTGAACATTGACATATGATCAGTATGATTAATAAAATAATAATTAATAAAATAAACAAAGATACTGAATACTACAGGAAAAAAAATCAGGAAAATGGCCATCTTGCAGGAAAAGAATTACTTGGTCAAAGAACCTTAGTACATGGTTTTCTTTAACAACAGGACTTTTTCGAGGAGGGACCAACAAAATTATCAGGATCAGCACGGATAATGACGTCGGAAAATAACGGATAAGAAGTTCATTGCCACTTTAAGCGTCGCGTTTTGTTATGTAAACAGTGACATATCGAATTGCCAATAATATCGTATTCCGGGCTCCTCCCAAATTATTTTTATATAGTCGGAACGTCGATAAAAAGAGATGGTTCACGTAAGGTCGAAATTGGATCCAAGATGTCTTTTGCAATTAAGAGAGTGTGACGACCTTTCCATGTGCAGCAGATTGCTTACTTGTTTAATACTGCAAAAAATGGATCACTCAATAAATTTCAAACGATTCGCAATAGTAGGAATTTGTTAATTTATGGCTGTACAGGGCTGACCAGATGATTTACATATAAAGTTTTCCAAAAATGTCCATTGTTAAAAAAAAATACGCTGTAGATACAGATAAACCAACACTTCTGGATGTTTTTATTGATTGCTCACAGTTCAACACCATACGTAACACAGCCTTCGAATACCGTCTTATATATTTGTTTTTTAGGGTTTTCTTACGGGTTTAGTTGAATGTCTTTTTATCTCGACCATCCTGTGTAATCGTTACACCCAAATATTTGTAGTGGAATGTATACACTATTGTTTTGCCTAGATAGATAGATTGATAGATACGTTATTCATAAATTACAACTTATGTATACATTAAAACAATGTACACATTAACTTTAAACAAATTTTGAACTGAGGTGGCTTTTACTTGATGAAAAAATCAAAAGAAATGAGAATTTAAAGTTCAGATTTTCACGAAATTATATATTTTTACATGACAATTGTTTAGACAACACCGTGTCTTTATCAACCCCCGTCAAACAATATATAAGCAGGTACAGAGTAAAATGTGAGCCAGTTTCAGTCAAGCTCTGAAGAAGCCGACAGAATGATTGGCGAAACGTCAGCAAGTTCGACTCAGCAAAAATTACAACTTATGTATACATTAAAACAATGTACACATTAACTTTAAGCAAATGTTGAACTGAGGTGGCTTTTACTTGATGAAAAAATCAAAATAAATGAGAACTCAGATTTTCACGAAATTATATATTTTTACATGAAAATTGTTTAGACAACGCCGTGTCTTTATCAACCCCCGTCAAACAATATATAAGCAGGTACAGAGTAAAATGTGAGCCAGTTTCAGTCAAGCTCTGAAGAAGCCGACAGAATGATTGGCGAAACGTCAGCAAGTTCGACTCAGCAAAAACCGACGCAGAAGGAATTCAGAAGTTTTGTAAAAAGTATTACAGGAGCCTGTGGAAGTTAAAAAAAACATAGTTGAATCAGTTAGTTAATTATGTTAGTATTGCCTAGGAATTTATAAAAATCGTCAATAAATTCGGGAAGGTGCATTGCAGGCCAATGAACACATAATTCGGCGGATTTTTATTTCAGAGGGCTATACGAAAATGCAAAAACATATTGGGTATTATTTATTATAGTTATATTATTATTATTACAGTATTTATTATATTATAGTATTATTTTATAAAATACGTACCACATAATTTTTTTTTAGTACGTAACAAAAACATCGAACATAACCTGAATCCCGCTAATAACGATGCATCAGAGACCGATATACAGATGTCATTTAAAAAAACATAGCCTGATTTGATTTTTCGTGTGTAATTGAGTGACAATTGAAATAATGCAAAAAAAAATAAGTTTATATTGCTGGAAGCAACTTTTGTACTGTATACTGTAAACTATTTTTTATAACGCTCAGTATAGGTATAGCCCCCTCTGCACACAGGTGAGCAGTTTTCTTCAAACGTCGAAGAACATTTTCTGTTTCTATATATTAGATCTGTTGTAGTTTTCAATCAATCTTCAGTGCATATAACTGGGGTGGTCTGCATCTTCTGTTAATATTAGTTTCTCATTTTTTCTATTACATTACTTAAGTCACTTACGTAGAGCTTATTTCAGAAAGATATGAAATAGCTTTGCCTCTCGGTAATTTAACTGTCGTACGAAAATAAAGAGTTTATATGCTTTAAAAAGTCTACAATGACATGACTTATCCTGTCTTTCATTAATCTGGAAATCTACTGAACTTAAAAATTCAAAATTTTTCCGAACATCCTCAAAATAATTTACGTTTTGTAACATTATAAGAAAGACTGGAAAACTTTGCATCTATCGGATATTTATTTATCTATTAACTATATAATTCCGCTACAGATTTAAAGGACTTGTATCCGCCCACGTGACCGACATCGTTGAAGATCAAATTGAATCTGTCATCGAATTCTCCGTCTGCCGGCCTGAATGCGTAGAATGTGTTGAAGATCGGGGCACCCACAGCGATTTGCATCGTCCATAATGAAATCTGGGAAAAAACCTCTAATTTAGCACAAAAAACAAGCATACAAGTGACATAGACTAAAATGGAA